TTAGTTAAATAATCAGAGAGCTTAAATAGGTAATCTCCTAGTTAGGTTGCAGGCATGGCGGCTAGTATAGAACCCAGATGGACTGCTTAAATTAGGTACCAAAAGTACATGTGTGGCTAGTTGTATCCTCGTGAAATTGATGTAATATCGTAATTATCTGAATAAAGCTAAGTGCTGAGGGACCTAAGTGGTCACCTTAATATAAAAAAAAAAAAAAAATAGTTTTAAGATAGTACAAATAACTTCTGCCCTTCTCTACTCTTCCTTATCAGATATATCAAGAAAAGTTTTGTCCTGATCTTTCATTCTAGTAATTACACTTTTTATTTTTATTGCTGATTGCAGCATGTTGAAAGTAGAGTTCTATCGAGTCTCACAATCTAAAACCAGGATTGTAGGGGTTCCCTTATGTCAAGCAAAAACAGACTGCCCCAGATCTGTTACCAATGCTCTGACCCTCTTGATCTCACCTATGATGTTATACAAGCACTTCCACACAACACTTATAAAGCAAAAAAAAAGGATCTTCTTCATATCTGTATATTGAAAGAAGAATTCCGCTATAAAGTTCACTTACCTTCGAAATTTATACATTTTTGACATAAAGTTTTGTGCAGAACATTCCTGGAACTTGCATTAGAGTCTTGTATTAGACTCTTGTAGACTCTTGAGTCTAAAAAAAAAAAAAAAAAAAAAAAAATATATATATATATATACGGTATATGCGAAGATGAACAATCATGTACAAGAATCGGCTAACAATAAGCAAGAACCTACTAACGAAAAACCCACAAATAAACAAGATCAAGGGCTCACCAATGAACAAAATAAAGAATCCACCAGTGAACAACTCACAGATGAACAAGAACTTACCAGTGAATTTGAATTTAATGAGGATGAACTTTTTGACGATGGATATGAGTCTGATAATGATGAATTACGAGCGGAACTTGCCAATATGTTAATAAATCATGCCCGAACTCACTCTAGCATGCAATCGTTACATGTTCTTGAGGAAAAGGAGGGGTATCGCAGATTTACATTATCTCTTAGTTCATACTATAGTTGGATAGTTGAGGAGGAAAAATCCAAAAGCATAAATTTTGTAAAAAAACATGGAATCTATAAGAATAAAAATGGATCCTGGTCTGAATATTATCTCTGTTCATGCGCGGGTAGTAAGCAAATAAGGAATGATCATGTAGAAGGAGGTGTTTTACAAAAAAAAAGGCATATACAAAAAGAATCAAAGAAAGTTGGCTGCAACTGTGCATTGCATATTCGATACCAACTATCTTTTTATAATAAACTTGTTATCATTTATTATTAGTATAGGCATAATGAGCATATTCCTGATAGTCGCAGTGACGTTCAATATCTAAAAAAATCAAAGGAAATTATTTCTGAAATTAGAAAGTTCGCCCAACAAGGGTTGTCTATTTCAACAATTAATGAAAGCATTGGAAGAAACAACAGAAAAGTATATTTTATTTATTATTTATATTTTATATATGTTATGCGTCAAATTAATAATGCATCAGATTAAAATAATTATAATCCCGTTAATACTTACCCTAACCCTAACATAGAATTCACCCTAACCCTAATTAAAAAGATTTAATTTTAATCTGACGCAAATTTTAACTTGATGTACAATATATATATATTTTAAAAAAATTTTTTTGAATAAAATCAAAATTTTTTTGATTAAAATCTTAGATATTTTGTTTCAAATGAAGTTGTTCTGAAGCGAGACGAGCTACTCACATATGAGGACATATATAATATAATTTACAAAGAAATTCATATGAAGTATTGATATAGTGGTCTCGAGATGAATAGCGTACGACAATGGGTCGAAATTCTAAAAAAGAATAGAGAAAAATGTGACAATTTGCATGATCCTATACTTTCCTGCTTTTAGATGTATGGAGAACAAAAATTTATGCTTGGATTCTATACGCTTTGGCAATTTAAGTTGTATGAAAAATATCATGAGGTATTTTGCACAATTGTTCTTAGTTAACATTATGATTGATTTAGATTAGGGTTTGGGTCAAGATTGTTTCTTGTATTTTTGTATAACTCATTTTTATACTTTCATTACTATTATTATTATTATTATTATTATTATTATTATTATAATTTTTATTATTTTTATGCTTTAATTTAGATAATTCATATTGATTCTATGCATAATACGAATCATCATAAATATGCCCTTTTTACAATTTTAATCTGGCATCTCTATAGCGGTCAAGATGTTCCATTAGTATGGTTATTAACAGAATCTCAAGACTCTGAAACAATCAAGCTATGGCTTCATGCTTTGAAAGAGGATAGTTGGATTGACCCAGTAAATGTAATCTTGGATAATGATGATGCAGAAATTAGTGCAATCTGTGATATTTTTACTATGTCAAATATTTTTTTATGTTGGTGGCATGTCAAACGCGCATGGCGTAGATGGATTAATAAACAAATACCAGGAAAAGAGCGCAATGATTTGTTTCAAGATCTAAATCAACTACTTAATATTTCTGATAAAAGTGAGATAAATAATGCTCTTATTAAATTTGAGCAAAAATGGCAACATACAGCTGCGGTACAATATTTTAATGCTCAATATCGATGAAAAAAAGGTGAGTTATTTTCTATTATCTCTAAATATGGATATGATTGTTTTTTTTTTTTGTCTTTTGTAATGCTCAAAATAAATTAATGCGGCAAATAATTACCACTATGTAAATGCCAGATGCTTATTTTTTTTTAATTGTAAAAAAATATTATTTATTAGAAATGTGGATAGAATGTTATCGCCGTAAACTAGTTCGTAAGACAAATACAAATAATTACATAGAGGCGTATCATAAAAAAATCAAATATGTCTACCTTATGACTCAGCTTAATAAAAGAATAGATTTTCTTATTAATGAGTTAGTAACTAAAATATTACCTGACTATTGTTAACAAACAATTCAGCATGAGTTAGGTGTTGGTAGAATAAATTCGCACTATAAAGTTTGGAGGCAATTTGAATTAAATTCTGTTGGCATTGATAATGGTTCAATTTTTCGCTTAGATGAGTCTACATATATTGTCAAATCAACTCAGGGTGAGAATGATTATATGATTGAGCAAACGGGAGATAACGCATTAACCCTTACCTGTAATTGTGAAGCATATTTAGGAAACCCAGTACCTTGCAAACATATATTCATTGTCGCGCGTAAATATAGTATTAAAATCCCTGAACAAACTACTTACTTACCTCTACTTAATGACGATGAACAATTTACTATCGACAACTCAATTATTAGGATTCAAGAAAATAACTTTAAAAAAAGGATTGAAGAAATGAATCACCGTATTAACCAACAGCTAGAAAGATTAGACAATCTTTGTCAAAAAATGGATCTGAACAGTATACCTTTAGAAAAAAAGAGAAGATATTGTTAATAAGCTGGAAGAAGTACATTATATTCTTTCTCAATATTAATTACCAGTGAGCAATATAGCCTTGGATTCTGCTATAGACATGACATAAGCACTATTAAAAATTAAAAAAAAAACAAATTAGACTAGAAAAAAAAAAAAGAATAAAAAAAAAAAAGAAATTAAAAAAACTTTTTTGAGTGGCACGTATCTAAAATCTGCTGAAAAGAGCTTTCTAGTGGGTGATATAATCTTGGAATTTTTCATGAAAATGGTATAGGCACTTTAAAAGATAAAGACATTCGATTAGTGTTTAAGATCTGCTAAAAGCGATTCTGGAATACTTTTACAAAATAATTATTGTTTCATGACTTTTCAGCACAAATACATCATTATATTTGAATGCACAATAAAAATTGAACAAAAGGATATTTTTTGTTCGTCTTTTTTTCCTGATATCCCGGAAAAAGCTTTGCACCAATTTTATAACTCAGGCCAAATAAAGTTGATCTTAGTTTATAACTAAATTTAACAAATGCGACTAAAAAAAATTTTAAAATTTATAAAAAATTTCAAAAGTTTTCAAAAGTTTGACCCGCAAAAATCAAATTAATTTCGTGTATAAAAACTTTGTTTTCGTTCAAAAAAAAATTTTTTTTGTTATGCATAAAATTATACGTGTTAGATGCTTTTGTGTTACAGTTTTGACGAGGTTAGGAAAGGGTCGGAGCATTGGTGACAGATCCGAGGTGGTCCGTTTTTGCTTGACATAAGGAAACCCAGATTGTAGCTTTGACAGACTTATATTTACAAACATCTAAAAACATTTGATACCGCCTTGGTATTGTATGTATTGCCTTAATACAACTGCGAATCTATAAAAATATTATTAGATTAAATGCATATATATGGCTAAAGTCTTAGGGTTCTTATACGGCATTGCTAATCTTATTAAGAGTGTTAGGGTAAAGTGTGTTACAGAAATGGAGCCAGAGGATTTAAATAGGTATCCTCCATAGTTGGATGCAGGTATGGCAGCTAGTGTGGAACCTAGGGCAGACTACTTAAATAGATAACCAAAAGTTGTATATATAGCTAGTCGTACTCTCATTAGTTAAATAATCAGAGAGCTTAAATAGGTAATCTCCTAGTTAGGTTGCAGGTATGGCAGCTAGTGTAGAACCCAGGCGAACTATTTAAATTAGGTACCAAAAATACATATGTGGCTAGTTGTATCCTCATGAAATTGATGTAATATCATATTTATCTGAATAAAGCTAAGTGCTGAGGACCTAAGTAGTCACCTTAATATTAAAAAAAAAAAAAAATTATTAGATTATCATTTAAAATTAATTAAATATATAAAATAAATACCTTTATATTAATATATAAAATAAATACTTTTATAATTGCCTCTGAAATTTCCTTTAATCTATTTTTTACAATAAGGTTCAGGATATAAGCAAGGTAGCGATTATGAAAAAGTTCTTTTTTGATATTAATTAAATTCTGCAAAGCAGAATTAATTAGTTCATGGATTGCAACATTATTTGAGCTTGCATTGTCAAGAGTAATAGTTTGTAGCTGTAAATATATAATATTATTAATATATATTAAATAATATCAAAATCAAGACAATAATTATATATCTTTGTAGTAATTAAGTAGTCATCGGTTATAGTCTTAATACAATTTGCAATGTTGGCACTAGTATAAGGATAGAGAAGTAGTTAGAAGAATATTAAAAAAGATATAAAGTTACACTTTTTATTCAAAAAATAAGCAGTGATTGCCAAATATCCTAGTTGCTGAAGCGATGTCTACATATCACATATAAGAGAGATTCTGCCTTTGGCATTTTGAAGAAATGTTCTTATTAAGTTTTTTCTTTTGTCATATTCTTTCATAACATCATGCTTTACTGTATCAGCGCTCATACTAAAGCAAGATAGAACCCTACTTAGAAATTTACAAAAGCCAGGTTTTTCAACAAATTAAAAACATAGTTTATCCTAAATTATCATATCTACCAAGTCTTTTTGACTTGGGTTTTCTATATGTTGCCATTTGGTTAAAATAGAAAAATTCAAATAGGTTTGACTATTTGATCCATTTGATCTATTTGATTGTCCATTACATGTCCCATTCCTTTTAAATTTATTACAGGATTTGAGATGGTGCCAAAGATGTGATGTCCCAGTACCTTTTTTATAGGCTAGAATACTTTTGCAATATTTACATTTTGCTTTTGGTTCATTTGATAATAAGGTAAAGTATTCCCAAACTGCTGAAGTACTTTTTGAAAATGTTGAACTTGTGGTGGTGGTGGTGTTGTCAGCAGCAGGAAATACTAGTATGGGCAATAAAGTCACAGAGTCAGTAGAGGTTATATTTTGAATATCTATTGTATCAGTAGAGATTATGTTTTGTACGTCTATTGTATTAGTAGAAATTATATTTTGAACGTTCATTGCATTAGTACAGGTTACATTCATTGCAAATACAATTCTTATTTGGCCAAGAGCACACTATACAATTAGTGTCATAACAGTTAAAAAAACTTGACCTACTTAAAATCTCAAATAAGATTGGAATATTTGTTTAACTTACCTATTTTTTCTTTTTTTTTTTTTTATTTACTTTGGTTAATTTGAAAACTACATCTTTGACTACAATCTCTCTACTGATTATGTAGTATTTCTTTTATTTTTTCTTAAGAAAAATATCTGCTTATTATAATCTCTTTTTCTTTTATATGTTAAGAAGAAGATCATGCAAAGTTAAAGTCTTAAATTATCTAACCAGTATGAAATTTTAGCCAATCAAAGTTTAAGATTTGTGCTTATGTGATTTTTTGTAGTACAATAACAGGTACTCTTCAATATCTAGGGCTGGGTATATCTGGATCCAAGTCTTACTAGAGAACTAATATTCAAACTCTATTCAGCCCTATCTTCTTTTAAGAGTTTATAATTTAATACCTCGGTCTATCTCATATAGTACTACCCTAAGGGTATCTATGGGTAGCCTAGGCCCGTGCAAAGGCTTAGTTATAATACAAAATAGCTTTTATTGATGATACCAGTGCAGCCTCCTCAAAGTTTGTGTCAATGATTAATATCACTATCTAAACTGCTACTATAAAGCATTTATTTTCTTTATAATTAATATATATAACTTATATATTTTTATTATTATTGTTATGATATATATAATATTACTAGTACATGATAAGGTTGTGACTAGTGGCTAGACTTGTCAACTTGTGACTTGAACAATTTGATTTCGAATCATAAAATTTTTTTGGTTGCTAAGATATCATTGCTTGATATTTTTTTTTTTAAAAAAAAATTTATCTTTAATAGAAGCTGTGCCAAATTTTTCCTAAAACTTTAAGCAGATATATTTCAGCAACTACCTAATCAAATTTGATAAATTTTTTTGATATTTAAATTCTATAAATGCATGGAATTAAAATAAAAAATAAAATTTTATCAAATTTGATCAGGTGGTTGCTAAAATATCATCACTTAAAAGGTTTTAAAAATATTAAAATATCAAAATAGAAGCTGTGCCAAATTTTTTCTAAAAACTTTGAGCAAAGATATTTTAGCAACTACCTGATCAAATTTGATAAAAAGTTTTTTATTTGAATTCTATGAATCTATAAAATTCAAATAAAAAAATTTATCTAATTTGATTAGATGGTTGCCAAGATATCATTGCTTAAAGTTTTAAGAAAAGCTTATATTTTAATATTATAACGAAAATTCCTACTGATTTTGAAAAGTTCAGTATAAAGTAATTACTGTGTAATAACAAGACTTTTAGAAAATGTGTTAAAATTTTATTTTGTAAAAATTTAGCTCAAATAAACAAGAACTTGTGGAGGTACTAAATTTTTCACTCTTGTATTAAGGCAAATTTAATTTTTTTTAAAAAAAAAAAACTTTGAGTAAAAATTTTTCAACAGCAACCTGACCAAATTTGATATGTTTTTTTTTTTTTTTTTAAATTCTATAGAGCAATAGAATTTAAATAAAAAACTTTTCATCAAATTTGATCAGATAGTTACTAAAATAACTTCACTTAAAGTTTTAGAAAAAATTTAATGCAGCTTCTATTAAAGATAAATTTTTTTAAAAAAAAACTTTAAACAATGATATCTTAACAATTGATAAAATTCGATAAACTTTTTTTTATTTGAATTAACTTGAGTAGATTATAAAAAGACTAATTCTAAAGTTGTACTAGCAGGTTTTGGCTTTATGACAAGTGTGTTCAATTATTTGAACAAGTACTATAGTACTGTACTATTTTGAAATGACTAACGAGCCTGCTGTTCTAACGTCTAGTTTCTCTATAAGCCTGTTGCCTTTAGCCAGTGCCCATAGGTGATCCACTGGGCTTGAAACAAAGGCCACTTAATAATACTAATAGTGGTAGTACACTTTAACTGATTATAGTAATTAGGATTATATGTATTATATATACATATTTTTTTTTTATAAAATCAATAATTGTGGCAGATCATAATGAAATTGGATTAAAATAAAACTGGTGAACTTTCTTGCTCGTCTTTAAAGCTTATAAAACCCACTTATACTCTTTTATTAATAAAACTAACTCTAAACCCTAACTTTAACACTAACCCTAACACTAAAAAATGTCCACCAAAAAAATTTAAATTTTCCTAAAAAAATAGAAAAATTTTATTTTAATCCGATTTCATTTTAATCTGCCACAATAATTTGTGTTATATATATATACCGGTATATACTCATAGGAAGACATTCATATGATTAGTTAATTTTTGTAGATCTACCCGTGATTGCCCATGACAATTAACCAATCAAAACATATAATTTTTAAGAAGACTTATCATTTTTAATACTACTAGAAAACGAAAAAAAAACTTCTTATAAAGCTTACAAACCAATAAATATATAAAAAAATTTATTATATATACTTTAGAGAATAGGTAGATATGCGCAAAGTGGAATAAATATGATATTTATTATTAA